CATATTCCCTTTGGCAAGGTGGGAGGAAATGGTTTTCATGTTCTGAGAGGGGAATTTTGAGCTTGTGACATCAAAAGGTCTTTGGCTGCATGAGCTGGCTTCTACACATGTTCATTCTCAAAAAGACAATTTCAAACTGTCCTTGAGTGGTTTCTGGAGGCATTTTTTGAAAGACAGCTAAGCACTCTGTTGTTTAAGGGATTTATGACCACGGGTATCCAGACACGGTGATTTCCACCAAGGGAGAATTGGTGAATTGTGTAAGGGAGAAAGAACAAACCCAATCACACAGACTTCACAAGGCAGTAGAAATTTTCATCATTGTATGAAGGAGAAGGAAATCTCACAGAGGCCCAAGGTGAGTCCAAGGTGATGCTAGAGCAAAGGAAGGGCAACAGGTGGCCACGGGGAGGCTGTGGCTCCTGGAGGACCATGCAAAAGCACACCGTGTCCTGCTGGCACAGCTGGGCCACGCTGGGATCACAGGTCTGTAAGAGCTGGCACTGCTGCCCGCTGAGAAGAAAGATCCTCTGTGCTTGACAACGTGGGCCATTGTCCCGGCTTCCCTCTCTCCAAGGGTGGGGACAAGCAGATGCTGTGAGCATGAGAAGAAGGAGGCACAACTAGTACAGAAGGACTTTAGGGCTTCACAGTGGGCCTGATGATGACTTAGAGGAGACAGCGGAACAAAGACAGTGTCAATGTTTCAAAGATGTCACTAGGGATGAGCTTCCTATACCAGGAAATGAAGGAACAAAACTTGACCTGGCCAAAGGGATCTCATTACATGGAAAGATTTGTCCTGCTCTAGACGGTATGCTGTGCAGAAGCTGGCTGGAGCAATCAAAGCCTTTGGCAAGAACTGGAAGGAATTCTAAGGTTATGCAATGATACAGCTTTTGAAGTTTTGTAGAATGAGATTAGATAATGAGGCTGGAGTTCCTGCTGTAAAGGACATGCTGGAATGCAATAGTCTAAGAAAATATTGAGCCACGCACTGGCTAACAATGATACAGCCACTGCATTTGAAGAAAGTCAAATCTACATAGAATGTCCATCCAGAGCACCCAAGGGCCCCAGAGGAAGGAAGGTGGAAGGAAGATTGGAATGATCTGCATTTGAAGTAGGAAGTCTACATTGGCAGTAGGTCTTGAGCTTCTTGGATGTTGCTTGGTCTCAAGTTGAAAGGCACTTTGTGTTGGTATCCCCTGCTGTATGGAATAATAAGGGCATGCTATGCACCAACCGCACCCCCCCCAAAATAAAGGAACAACTTTGTGGTCAAATTAGGTAATAGCTCCAAGACGTAGATTGGCTTCCCTGAAATTGAGTAATGTGCACTTTGACCTGGTAGAAATACAAGGTCAACTGTCCTTGATGCGGCTGGTTGCCTACCTGTGATGTTAATTAGGGATTGGGGGAAAGAATTGGGCCCTAGATAATACATGTGATCACTAATAAGCGATGGACATGTGAGGAAAGTGCAATAATCCACCTTTCCCTGTGTGTGCCCTGGGAACAAGATAAACAGAGTGACTTGCTCAGCTGTCAGGACTGCGTTCAAATGGAAACCAGGCACCAGAGTGTACACACCCCGTGTGACCATCCCACGTCACCTGCTTGTCCACTCCTTGCCAGGGGTCATCTGCTCTCAGGATAACTCCTGCCCTTGGCCATATTCTTCCTTCTTCTTTGGGTTCTTTCTTCTTCTCTTTTACTAAAAATTACAGCCCAGCTCCTCTTCTCTGGAGGGTCCTCAGGCTCACTAAATACAGGGTCGGAATCCAACCTGGTCTTGTCCTAGATGCTGCCCAGGTCGCGTCCTCAGCCTTGTTTGAATGGAGTTGCCCCACCTGGAGCACTCGCAGCCACTGACCGGCCCACCACGGTCCACAGCCCAGTCCTCCCACCCCAGCTCAGGAGAGCTCTCCAAGGCCATCATTTCAATCACTGAGATGTCCATGGTTGAGACTATCAACCAGAAGCCCAGCGCTGCCCCTGCCCAGCGCTGCCCCTGCTCTTCCCTGCACAGGGTTGATCCTGGGAAGCCCCCCTGATACACGTGCTGCACCATCTCTGCCTCAGCACCTGTTTCTCGGGAGCCCAACCTGAGACAGTTTCTGAAGAGACAGGGCAGGAGCTGAACAGGAGAGAAAGCTCTAGAGGGTGGGGAACCGGCCCCACCAGGCTGCTGGGAGGGTGAGACGGGTTAACACGTGTGAAAGCCAGCAGTGACCAGGGAGCGCTAAGTCTTACAGAAGCGTTTGGCTGTTCTGATTATCACTCCAATTAGAATGTCATATGTCATTATTATTCATGATCTTAAGAGTTAAAAAAAAAAATTCTATCTGGACTAGTCCTTGAAAGAGTATCACACCTTCAGGGCAACGTGTGCAATTTCTCACTGGTTTTCATTCCTGTGCATCTGCCCAGGCTGTAGCTGAGGGCATCTCACTATACAGGTGAGACATGAGAGAAATGGCCAGGCTGGACTGGAGACGGTATCTCTCGTTTGCTGGATAGACTCCCCTCCTTGAGGGTCACCCCCATCTCACCAAGTCATCGGTCTGCAAATATGCAGGTGTCCTTCAATCCCAAACCAGCGTCACCACCCAGAGGCCCTCCCCGACCTCTCCCTCCACCTAATGATCTGACCATCTTCTCCCTTTCTTCTTCGAGCGTGTGTGTGTTCACCTTGGCGTGCGTTGCCTAGCTCAGGCTTCCATGGGACTCTGACTCATTCTCTTCCCCGGGACAGGGTAGGTGGTCAGCATATTATTTCCCCAGTTCTGCCCTGAAATGCCGCCACAAACTGGGTAACTTTAAACACCTTCCAGAGACCAGAAGTCTGAAAGGAAAGAATCAGCCCAGCCATGCTCCCTCCAAAAGCTCTAGGGATGGATCTTCCCTTGCCTCCTCTAGCTTTGGGTGGCTCCCAGGGTCCCCTGGCTTGTGGAAGCATTGCCCCGGTCTCTGCCTCCTTCTTCACATGGATCCTCACATGACCTTCTTCCTCAGGTTTCCTCCTCCTTTCTTCTCCGAGAACACATGCCAGGAATTTAGACCCACTTTGTACCAGGATGGTCTCATCTCAATATTATTTGCTTAACTATGTCTTCAAAGACTCTTTTTCCAAGTAAGGTCACAGGCACAGGCTCCAGGTGGACACATACTGTGGTGCCCACCACTCAACCCACCACAGTAGATATATTTTGATTCTAAGACCCAGAACTGGCTTCTGTTGGGTGCATCTGGCAGGTGATGCAGGTCTGCAGAGGTCAGTTCCAGAAGGAACGCAGGGAAGGGAGGAAACAGGAAGAGGGGTGAAGGAGGACTAGGTGGATCTTATTGACTGACCATGAAGAAGTAAAGTACAAAAGAAGTCAGAGGTGGCTGAAAAGCATGGACCCTCAGTGCTGTGCGGGAAGTCAGGATGAGAAGCTGGACCTCGCTGGCCATGTGCTCTGTTTTAACAGAATGTGGAGGGAGTGCAGGATGATTCATTGGCTGAGCCAGGGACTCTGGGCCTCAGTTTCCCCACAAGCCTGTGGCAATTCCAGCTATCCTGGAGTGTGCAGAGTTCTCTATGCAAGGGCTTTACACACTTAAGTAAGTACATGGTTCACTATTGCACATGAACCTAGCCTGGCAGGTCAGTTATCTGCTTATCTATGTAACTATTAATTATCTTACAAAGTGTCCCAACAGCATGTTGGGTGGGTTAGCCAGTGTTCTGGGAAAGAAAAGGATGTCCAAGATATGCCACCTGGCAAGAGGACCAACACAAGGGGAGAGGAACACACAGGCACATACAGGGCAATATGATAAAATGAGATTGTTTCATTTACTGCCTGCCCTCACCCTGTATAACATCGGCCTCATGCAGCAGGCTTCCTCTGTCTTCCATAATTATAATTACTGTATCCCATTGCTAAGCAACCTGCCTGGGACAGAATGGGACCAGTTGCTATTGGTTGAGTCAATGAGCAAATGGATTCTTGAATAAATGGATGAATGGAAGGCAGTAGCTTGCAAAAGTACTACAGGCACTCACAGAAGCAGCAGCAGGAGGGGAGAAGTCATAGGGAAGACACCTTTGAACTTGACCCTGAAGAATGAAAAGTATTTTGACAGATCCAGAGGAGGCATAAAGAATAATCTGATGGATGATATAGGAGCATCAAAAAAAAATACACATAAATAAAATATGGCTCAGAAGTTACAGCATGGGGGCCTGGTAGGAAGGGCAGCCAGAAATGAGAACGTGGTAATGGAAATAGAATTCAAGGTCATAGAGAAGCAATTTTGGCTATTATGGTAAAAAAAGAAAAAATGGATTTTATGCTGCAGGAATGGAGAACCAGGCAGAACTTTCAAGCAGGGAGGTGACATTGTTGGAATCCTGCTACTTAGAAAGTTGTTCTTGCAGCAGTTTGTTGGGTGAACTGGAGCCTAGGAGTCCAGGAAAGCAGGTGGGGGGGGGGGGTGAGCTCGAGGCCAGGAGGGAGCCGCTGAAAGCAGAAGAAAGACTGAGGCTGGCTTATGAGGTGAGGAGGACCGGATGCTGTCAAGAGGCATTTACAGATCCAAGTGTTAGGGTCTGCAAGATGGCAATGATGGAGGAGGAGGAAAGGGGAGGCCCCAACTTAAGGCCCAGGCTGCTGATTTGGAAATGAAACAGTGAGCAGTGGAGCTTCGCCCCAGGGAGACAGTCAGGCCTGCAGGATATCAGTAAGAAAGACCCAGACAGCAGTTGGATGTCCACGTCCGAAGATAGACATGAAGTCAAGGTGCACATATGGACCGATGAATCAATTTGCCCAGATGGAAAAAGAACAGTAAAAAAAAAAAAAAAAATATGGAAATGATAGAACAATGAAATCATTTTGAACAATTAAAAAACAAAAACAATGAAAAGCAATAATGAAATCACAAAATAACACCATTATTTTCTAAAAGGTCAATCTGCAGAGAGACAACTCACTGTATTTTTTACTTACCATGTTACATTCCATGGGCCACACATGAAAGCGAGTTGGAGAGGGGCCCTCAAGTTATCATGAGATCTGTCCCACAGTCCCCGAGTGCATTCTGCATGTCCCTGGAGGCTCCCTGTAACCAGGCACACTTCCAGGCACTCAGGAGGCTCCCTTGGCTGGCAGTCAGATGCAAAGGCAAACTGCGAGCTAAAACAAAAGTGAAATTAAAACCCAGCCACGGACTGCAGAGGAGCCAGTCTGCAAGCCAGGAAGTTTCTCTGGGGAAGTACCCCTGAGCCGAGGTCAGAGACCTGAGATAGTCAAAAAAAGGAAGACAATCAGTGTCCCAGAAAGGGGACACTGGACCTGAGAGAGCCCTGTGGGATGAAGCCAGGGACAGTCCAGGGCCCAAGAGGCAAGGCTAGCCCAAATGAAGGAGAGCAGGAGAGACGAGGTAAGACCACCTTATGGGCGGATGTTCAAGGAAATTCTGTTTATGGAGGAAAAAGTCACCAGTAAGTGTTTGATAAAGCTGATGAAATGTGTGCAAGAGAAAGAAAGTTTGTTGAACTGGCCTAATTAAATGAACTAGGGATGCATAACAATGAGGGTTTATGATAGTGAATGTATTTAATGAATTTTAACAAATTACTTCAATTTGAAATGATTTAATTTCTTCATGGAACGTGCCTTAGCAAAGTGCCTAAATTACATGGGAGTTTCATAAAGATTACTCGGATCAGAGCTGCTCTTGCTTTGAGTCTGCCTTCCTGTGAGATGATGTTTACTAGAGTTTTGTCCAATTCAACAAATATAGGGAACCATCTAGAATGTGCTGGCCACTGGCTCACAGTTGACATCCTCGCAGTATCTCAGCAGCCTCTGGTGAAACATGTGGCAGAAACAATGCACTTGGTGTTTGGGGAATGAGTCTGTTGGAGGATCTTGGAGCTTGGAACAATTCCAAGGTGGCTCTGCTGATGTGGGAGAGGCCACAGGTCCCTGCCCCATAATACTACCCCTGTATGATGATGCTCTTACACTTTTATAAAAGTGTTTTTAAGTAATTAAATTACTTTAAACATGAACTTTTTTAACCCCAGTGGAAATGCAAAGAGGGATTCAGAATTGTGTGTGAGGCGTTAATTACTTACATCTGACTGGTGGGTTTTTTTTTTTTCTATGAATGAATGCACTTAATTAATTTTTCCCTTAGCTTCTTGCTATCTCCTGGCTGTAATCTATTTTCTTTCATCCCAGGGGCAATAAAAGGACAACAAAAGAAAAATCCAGTGACTTGAAATTCCAGAACTCCACTCTGCCAAAAAACAGGTCAGAATCTTTACTCGTTTATTGAAAGAGAAATGAAAATTTTTATTCTGTGGCAAATAAACTGGCCATCATATGCATCCATTCACATGGAAAATGTCCATGTGACCGAGGTACAGCTCTGGTAATGAGCTCAGAGGCTACCCAAAGACCAAAAGAAGGGGTTTGACTGGTCTGCACAGCCAGCAGGGCTGGAGCCCGAGAGAGAGCCACTGAGGGGGACATCTGTCCCTCTGCAGTGAGTGATTAGATGACGGAGCATGCATCCGACCACAAGTTCACCTCGGGGTCTCACAAGCCAGCAGGCAACAGAGAGCCGCCTGCCTGTATCATCAAGTTTCTTTGTCCCTCAACTGAGAAAAATGTGTACTGAGCATTTATGCTATCAGGATTTTCACAGACTATTGAAAAAGCAGAGACAAAAGACCCAGTCCTGCTCACAAGAGCCCACAGATAGTCCAGCTTCAAGTGTCAATAAATTACTGAGAAGAGACCAAACCCAGTCAAGTCCAGCTCTGCACTGACCTGCAGACTCCCTGGCAACATCCTGAGGCTCAGAACATATGAGGGCCCTGCTCGCAGCCAGCACTCCCTCACCACGCCCTCCTGGGGTGGTCAGTCTTCCCAGCGTGGTCCAGGGGTCTGCATGAGTATGACCATCCTCCCATCCCAGCTCAGTTCAACTCAAGCCTGTCCAGCAAAGTCTCTGCAGGGCCTACTGTGTGCACAGGCTGCAAGCAGTTTTGAGATCGTAAGTCCTGCTAGAATAAATATTTTCCCTAAGCAGAGTAAATGAATGCCCGTAAGACAAAATACTGGCATTGTTTTTCAAAACCACTTTAAGCAAAGGAAAATTTGTGGCTGTTCTCAGACTTCTTTAATGTTTACATTGAAAACATTTGAATAATGCATTTTAAGTTCATTTTTCTTATTTTCTGACAAAAGCAAGAGATGGGGAATGGAAGGGTTAGAAGCCTTCCTTCGAATGGAGAGGGTTGAAGCAATTACATACATCAAAGTAATATTTACAGTTACATTTGAGGGGGAAAAAATAAGACAGAGAGGAGAGCAATGCTTTTTTTCCAAAGCAAATTATTTCAGAATGTGTCATAGCATGCTCAAGATATATTAAAAAGAGCAACAGATGATGTTTCTGCAACCTGTTCCAAACCATTTATAAACCCAAATTTAAAAAAAACAAACCCCATATACATACAAATTTCTGTACCACTGCATATTTTATAATGGAAGTATTATATGAATATAAATTAGCATTTGAAATATATAAATCAAATAAAAATTCCCAGAAGCTGCATGTGAGGTCTACTATCCATTCCCCATAGAGGCAACAGTGACCAGCACTGGATAATGCAGGAGAAGGGGAGCTAGAGGTGGGCAGCTTACAGTACAGAACCAGCCCATGGAACCCAACTGAAATCTCAGCTGACTTGCTTACTGTGTGGCCTGGGACAGGCCTCATGTACTTTTAAAATGGCATTTGAAATAGCAGTGTCTCTTGTTCTTCATCAAATACCTGAACCTAGCAGTGCCTGTGTCTGGGGAATAAATCAATGGCCACTGTGGCATACCTGAAAGGTAGCAGGTTCTCGATGCATAATGAAGGCTAACGGTCTCTGAGTGCCCACCCTGTGCTAGACATTATCTAAGAGCTTAGGGCAGCTCTCGCAGGATCCTAGCAGTCACACTTCACTAGTCTCCCTTCCACAGGAAACAAAACACAGAGGATAACGAGTTGCAAAGCAGTAAGTGGTGGATATCATGATCATTACTAATATGGAATCTGTCTCTGGTCATCTCACACCATTGCCCTCATGCTGTTAGGTGTGGGTGCTGACTCTCCAGACCCAGGCAGAGGGCTCAAACATGCACACGTAGCCTCCCGGTAACTTACAGAGTAAGACGCTAAGCTGAGTGTCAGTTCCACTCAGAAGACATTCCAAGAGACATTCCAAGAACAGTACAGATTATTCCCATATCCAGAACCATGACCCATCTCTGATAGCAAGAGGAGTTTATCCCAACAGCTCATGGTGTTTGCCTGACTGAATCCCAATACCCTCTTTTACTTTGTGCTATGTCCCCATTATATAGTGACAGAAACATTCCAATTGGTGTTGCCAATTTGAGTCCACGCTCAGCAAGTGAATACCTAATAGGCACCAGATGTCAAAAGGAACTTCGGCAATGAACCCTCACAATTACACTCCATAGGTATTTTTATTCCCATTCAGTGCTAGGGAAAAGTAGCCTGAAAGAGGTTGCATGTTATGGCCGTGGTCACAGAGCTACTGAGCTGACTTCAAATCCAGTGCCACTTCTGCATTTTAATGATCAAAACCTTCTTATACATCAGTGCACAGTCGGCCCCCATAGCGGTGGGCTCTGCACCCACCCCTGGATCCAACCAACCACAGATCAAAAACGTTGAAAAACTTAGGTCTGTACTGAGCATGTGCAAACATTTGACTTGTCATTATTTTTAAACAATATGGTATAACAACTGTTCACATGGCATTTGCATTGCATTTGTTATTCTAAGTAAATCAAAGATGATTTAAAGTAGACAGGGGATGTGTGTAAGTTATGCACAAATCCGACACCATTTTATACAGGAGATGTGAGCACCTATGAATTTTGGTATGGTGGAGCTGGAACCAACATCCTGCACACACCAAAGGACATCTGTTTATGCATGGGTTTAGTTTCCCATTCCTAAGGGTCAGTAGTCTGCCCCTGCTGAGACTCCCCATTTGAAGGAGAGCCATGTGCTTCCCCTTCCTGAGAAGCACATCTGTCAACAGCTGCATAAAGGTGCTGCCTCTCAGCAGTGGTTCTCAGAGTGTGGAGCGGGGACCAGCACCATCAGCATCACCTGGGAACTCAGAAATACAGATTCTCAGACTCCCGTCTACTGCCAGCGACGTCAGGCAGCTGTGTGTAAATCGGCTGCCCTGCAATACGGAAGCCTGTTCAGAAACCTTGGCAGGAAGCAGCACTCCCAAGAGCACAGCTGGAAGAGAGGCCCCTGGGCCTGACTCCTGCTCTGTCCCTTCCCACTGAATGAAAGCAGGACAGAGAGAAGATCTTCGGGGGGGGGGGGGGGGGGGGGGGGGGAGAGAACCATGAGTGTCCGAGTGCCTCTCCCCTTAGAGGAACCTCCTGGAGACCACTGGGGTGAGCCTTGGGAAAAGCAAAGGTGAACAAGACACCCCCCGCCATCAGGATGCTCATCTGTGGGGTGGAGGGGTGTGGAGATGCAAAGGGACAAGAGACCAAGATACACTGTAAGGCAGGGCACCGTGTGCACGGCAGAACACGAGCCCCGTGGAGCCAAGGGACACAGCGGGATCAGAAGGTGAAGAAGGTTGACCGAGTCCTTTCTCCAGAGCCAGGGTTCCAACCACTTCCTCCATTTGCCACATGCCTGTGCCCTGCTGCCCCCTCTGGACAGCTAAGTACTAACTGTGTGCTGTCCCCTCAGACCTTCCCAATGCATTGCCTCATTTGTGATCAATTCCCCCTCTGCCGCGAGCTCACGTAGTTCATTCCAGGGCAAGAATGTGCAGGTGGCTGTAATTTCTCAGGGTCCCCCCCGGGGCCAGTCCTCTCACTGAGGAGACTGGCGCTGTCTTCCATTCTGTGCACTTGGAGGCCCCTCCTGGACGCCTCCAGTCAGCACACCCAGGAGCCTAAGGGCACAGCTGCCACTGCTCTTCCCATCCTCCTCTTGTGCGCGGCTGCTCTGGGCCTCTCTAGCACAGAGAGATCCACAACAACAACTTCTAGCTCTTCCCCCACCACTGGTGGAAGGCGGGGTGTCCTCCTGA